GAATTAAATACGAATTCCAATTATTTACTATATGTTACTTAGTAATTCTACCATAATACAGTTTTTGAAAAATAGTTGAATTCAATTCCATCATATGTATAGTTGTGATTGTAATTGATAAGGATTAGCTAAGATAAAATATAACCCAGTTTGTACATTCAAATAAGTGGTGATACCTTTCATTAGACAATTATCGTAACACCATCCGAACAATCGTCACACCATCATGTCTTAACAGGAAGATCACAATCTTAACACCTGCATTACAGCAGACATATTTTTTAACGAGATAAATAATTTATTATATATATAGTAGTAATATGAAATTGATGGTTAATGTAAAACAAAATATTTATTATTCAATTAGCTTAAGTTACTTCTAGACTCCTGTTATTGCATAATATGCATAAGCTTTTTTTTTATTAGATACAGTCAGGTTTTTCTAAATGCATTTTTCTTAAATGCATGGTCCTCTCTAGATACATTGTTTTGCTTGGCTCAACTTATAAATTTTTTTACCTCCCTAAGTTCTCTCTCATCCCATTTTTGTCCTAGCATATATTTATGTAATAAGTATTTTCAAGTTTGACAATAAAACTTGGAAAATAAAATATGGAAACCATAGCACAACACTTTCAATATACTGGAGAACATGTTAGTGGTTTTGTCAAATACATATCATTCTCATCAAATAATGGTGAGAAATGTCAAAGTTTAATGGAATCGACCCTCAATACATCTTTAATTAATAGTCCTCACACTCCCAAAAGGATAGACATAGATCCTAGAGATTTCAACATCCCTAACAATTGGATTCCTCGTTATTGAGAGTTGATTAGATTAATGGGAAAACTAGGGTTCCGATCGATACCATTCGGTACGATATTTTGTAAAACTGATACCAAAATTTTTTTTGGTACCGGTATCGATAATTACTGAAAATTTTCGATATGATACTTTAAAGTACCGATATCGAACTGAAATATCGAAAATATTAATAATAATTAAAGTATTATATAAAGTTTCAATTAATACTATTTTATAT